ATCTGTAGTTGCCCCAGAACATGCAGCAAGACAAGGTTTCTGCTCTTTTACTGACCAAAAAGGAGAACATGCATTCTTCTGGTAAAAAGAGGGGAGCAAATTTGGGACTGAGTTTCATCTTCAGGCTGATTGCTGCTATTTAAATAATCCATATCTGTGGCTTTGTGTGTCAGTCAGGAGGGTCAAATAAGGCTTTGTGTTTTATCCCTTAATAATTTGCGTGCATGAAAGTGAGTTTGAATTGGAGGTTCAAATCCAATGGGTTTTTTTCCAGGTGGTCTTTTAACATCTGATCAAAATGCAAGAGCAAAAAGGAATGCCATGGCTTTTGGAGAGAAAAGCAAAATTTTATTTTCCAAGTCTGCAATGAAATTCTACATTTTTGTCCATCATTCACCTTTTGTTCCACATCACTTTATATAAAGGAAGTTTTCTAGCCAGGAAGTACCAGAAATTCATCTATTTCTTCTCAGTTTTCCTGCAAAATGTTTTGTATCTCTGTTCTCACAGACAGAGAGAGTAATCTCTGGAAATGAAACTCATTCATATTATAAGAGGTGTAAATGTTTGTATCACAATTTTGTTTTCTCATATATAAAACTATCACAGTAGAAACTTTTTGTAAACTTTAATATTAGATAATAAAAAACAATGTATTTCATTATTTTACAGACCTCAAGGGTTAATATGCAGTTTTGAGAAAAATAATGTTGGCAATGTACCCTCAATGTGTTTACAAAGAGCAAGTAGCAGTTTGTAAACACTAAAAAGCAGTCTCAGTTTGTAGACATCTTTGTTCTGTGAAAGTCAGCATCATAGTCCTGTGTGCCATGGCAAAACAAGATTTTCAATTTTCATTCCATGAGGTTTTTTTGTTTTTCTACTCCAAAAGAAGCTAGCCCAAGGATAACTGGAGACATAATACTTATTTTAAATCAAAGATTTTGTAGTGCTTATGTGTTTCTAATGGAAACAGTAGGAACATTTTTATTGATTTTTCACTTTATTTTTTAAACATTCCAGTATCAGAACAGCTATTTCTTGTTCAGATTCTGTGCTTTTATATTAGGGAAAAAAGGAAACAATAGGAAGATTTTTATTGTTTTTTCACTTTTATTTTTTTAAACATTCCAGTATCAGAACAGCTATTTCTTGTTCAGATTCTGTGTCTTTATATTAAGAAAAAAAGGCTACTTGCTCTTTCTATCCAGTCATTCAGCACCTAATGAGAAGCAGACTGACCTTGGAGATATTAAAAGGCTCCTTTGGCTTAAAAGTTTAATGCATTTAAGAGTTTGAGAAGACATTATAAATACAGTGTGTATTATATGTAACAATTGCTTCTTGAGCATAAGAAAAGGAAAATCTGGGAAAAGTTCCATAGAGAAAACTCCTTTTGGGAAAGGATTGATCATAAAACAAATAGCTTTCCATGGGTTCAGCCTTGCCTGGAACAGACATGCTGTGATAATCTTAGTAAGACTTCTACACCTGAAAAAGTTTCCAAATCCTTGCCTTTTTATCTATTTCCCTTGGTGGCTTTTTAAAAGAACTGACAGTTGATTTTGCAGCAAAGAGTATTTTCAGTGTTGACTACACTGTTTATTGTCTCTGTGCAAAGAGAGTGAAAATAATTTCTCATGAGTATTTGAGCCCTGGGGTCAATGGGCTGAATTTCCATTGTGGAAACTACAAGTTACTTAAACTTGGTGTAATTTAAGGAAAGAATTTCTTTTGTTTTTTTTGCATTTGGCATCCTGATCACTGCACTAACATCCACACAGTGCTCGACCCTTGACTAGCAGAAATCTGGGCAGGCAGTTGACACCTGAGAAAGAGACTGTGTTCTAGTTTGCAAAGCTGGATGCTGAAAGCTGAGAAAATATCAGATCAAAAGGGATTAAACTGATGACCTTTATAGTCATCAGGTTAGGACCTTTTCTGAAGTCCAGAACTCTTTAAAATGCAGAATATGATGCTATGTCTTCAACCATATCATAGTAACAATACAAATTGCTTGTTTAGTGCAAATCGGCCTGAAAGTGCGTACATGTGACAAAGTAATTTTTGATGCACAAATGTGCATCAAATGTGACATTGAAGTAAAGAGTATGAAACTGTCAAAAAGATAATTATGAGACAAAGAAACTATGAATCTTCTGCTCCTTTGCAGGAGCCGTTGCTTCTCAGTAGGGTGACTCAGAGCTAACTGATCGCCAATGGGAATTAACAGTCCAGCCAAGAGGATGTACAATCTAGTAGGCCTTTTCTGATGGCCTTTCAGTTACTTAATTTCCATTTGTATGGCAATTTGAAAAATATGTACAAGTACTAAATATTGTTACAGTTCATGAACAGAAACTAAGACTGGTGTTTCTATCCATTTGTCTGTTCTCAGATGAAGTGAATATTGATGGTTATGTCAAGCAAAAGATTCTGCTGTCTGAAAATAAGAAGAATCTTTTTTTCGGTCACCTTTCTTTCCTGTCTTCTCCATGAAACTTGCATCCTTTTTTATATAGTTCTCTAACTAGTAGAAAGTGTTTTAATGACCCTTTAGGAGACAATTCTGAAAATTTGAAAAATAGAACTTCCACATTCTAGGTATTATCTCCTTTCCTCTACTTCAGTATAAAGAATTGCCTGGAAATGTTCACAGTATATATTGTGACAATGAAATAAAATAAAACAAAACAAAACAAAGGCTGACAGCTACTTTTCCATTTCAAAACTCCTATACATTTTGTGAACTAAGCTCTAAGAAAGCAAAGTAAATCCCTTTGTAGGATTTAAGCAGGGAGAGACCTGGTTCTTGGATCCTGTTCATACATAAACTCAAAACTCATGTCCAAAATCAGTACAATTAAAACTGAAGTTCCTATGTGAACAGATACTCATGAACTTTAAAAAAAAATGATACCTGCAGGATTCGGCTGTACCAGAGTGGGTATTATGCTTGCAATTTTTTATTAAAATCATTAATGTTTCCCACATGCTAATTTATCTTCCCAATCTATTGGGATCTTTTTCTTTATCCTCTGATTCTGTTATTCAGTTCCTTACTCCACAGACTGTTGCTGACTTTATGGGGACAGAACAGAGCAACACTGTGGGGTTTTGACTGTCCTGAATCAAGATTGAGGAAACATGGACAAAAGGGATATGTACATGAATCCCTTCTCTATACCCAGAGATGCATAACTATCACATGGAGTAATAATCAGATATATGTCTTGGCTAAGATAATGCATCTTCATTTTCCTTTTCTCCCTTTTGTTCCAATGGTCCTGTGCAATCTGCTGGGTGAGAAACCATGCTTCCTTAGTCTGGTGAGAAACATGCTGCCATACATGGGTGTATGGGCTGTAATGCTCAGATTAACTGTTCCTCTTTTCTTTTATTCCCCCTCATGCAAGACATTTACCCCTACCTGCATCAATATGCCTTTCTTCTGTATTTTTCCAATTCTCAGTTTTCACTTTAGTATGGAGTGTTCAACTCCAATCAGATGAATGGTAAAAGACCATGTACATTTATTGCTATTGTTGTTGCTGTTCCTGTTAATAACAATAACAGTGATTTGTTTGAAGTGATACTCAAACACATATCTGCCTTCAAAGAACAAATAGAAGGGAGTCCCTGACCTCAGAGAACATATCACACTTAGACAACCAAGCAAATATTTCAAGGGGATGGCGCAGCAAAAAGGATGATTGCAGATATCAATGATTTTCATTATAGCCACTTGCCAAACAAGCATGGTGAGAGGAAATTTAAAAGTGGGCCTGAAAGAGAATTTCTCATAAGCAAGACCAGACAGGTGTAGTATGGAGTAACATATGAAGCGATTAGAGGAATTTCCAGAAAAGCAGAAAGCAGTGGGAATATCACACAAACTCACGGAATATGCAGAGTTGGAAGGGACCCACAAAGTCCAATTCCTGGCCCTGCCCTGAACCACCCCCAAGAGTCACACCATGTCCCCGAGAGCATTGTCCAAATGCTTCTTGTACTCTGTCAGGCTTGGTGCTGTAACCACCTCCCTGAGGTGCCCAGGAACACCCTGGATGAAGAACATTTAGGAGAATGATGAAAGTTGGTGAAGTCAAATTACCAGAAACACCTACTGGTGTTTCTTAAACATAGGACTTCTGAATGGCTCTTTTGCCTGCAGAAGTGGACAGAACAGCAATTATTGTGTGCAAGAGTATGATGAAGAACAGCCAGTTCTACAGCTGTTGGTTGATATATTGAGAAACTTTTCCCCCAGAGGTTACGTTGTTGTTGAAAGGCTTTCAGTCACTTATTTTGGAAAAACTGTTGGCAAGTTGCTTGTGACACAGACAGCCCTCTTTTATCCTGACAGTAGCATAGCATGAGTGGCTTCTTGGTATCAAGTTTAGTAAATGAATTGTCTTCTGTAATACTTTGGTATGGCAAGCATTCTATTGAGACCAAGATCAAAATATTGCAGGATATTTGTGTCCATCTGTTGCACTTTTGGCTGTCTGATTCAGTTGCAAAGAGCAGTTCCAAACTCTTCTACAAGCTAATGAATAAGGCTTTCAGAATGTGTTTAATACCTAGACCTCACAAGGGTTTGTGGCATGTCTCAACTGGAATATTTAAAGAAAAATAAAAAGTTCAAAATGTATTCAATTAGTACTTTTTTCTCTGTGGGACAATCACAATCATTTTATAGGAAAATCAAAGCAAAATGTATTATAAAGGCAATTAGGAACTTCAGACTGTCCATTTTAATTTCAAAAGAAAGGATATTAATATCATTTATTGAATTAGAATCAGTAAAACATTTGAAAGTCTCTTCATTAGGATTATGAGAGCACCCGGTTGTAGAAAAGAGACATCTAATATCTTTTTCCAACTAGGGCTGTAGAAAATGAGGTACATGTGACACAGAAAAAGCAAATTCTCAGTTGCCATCTGTGTAATGGGATGGGTAAAGCATTACTGTGCTAAGAAGTGTGCTCTTTGTGCAGCTTCAACAGATGACAGTGCGGCGGAGAAGAAAGGTGGAACGCTTCATGCCGGGTTAATTGTCGGCATCCTGGTCCTGGTCCTCGTTGTGGCTGCAGCCATCCTCGTGACTGTCTACATGTATCATCATCCAACGTCAGCAGCGAGTCTCTTCTTTATAGAGGTAAGACAAGAGCAACACTCTGTCACTAGTCCTGTCTCTTGACTAGGGTATTTGGAGTCACCAAAATAGATCTTTCTTAACTGAATCAAAAAGTGTCTTCGTGTTCATGGTGTAATCTTTGAAGAAAAGGAGCTCTCTCAGCAGGGGATATTGTTTTGTTCCTAGCATGTTTGTCATTCTGCTCTTTTAGCTACCATTGTTATTACTTCTTTTGCTTGTAGACAGGACATATATCTAAGAGATATATGTCAGATATCACACTACTTCTCTTTCCTGTCCTTCATTTTCCCCATAATAGCATTTTTCCATTACCTTTCCTGGACACTGTCAGTTTATTTCAGGGCATATAATTTTTCTATAATTTTCCTGTGGGGGGAGGAAAAAAGCATTCATTCTGAATCCTACAGAAGAGCTGACTTCTAGTACGTTTTTAGCTGGAAATTTCTATTAGCTGTTTCTTACACCATTTAAAGGAATCTTTTTACACTTTGTCTAGAGCATGGAAAAGACTATTTTCACCTTGTTTTTAACATCTGTCATTTCTTCTGCTCTTTCTATCAGTGTAGAGAGAAACAGACTCTTTTAGACCATAATTCATCTTACCTATTTGAGACATCCCCTTTAGGATTAGATAAATTGACATTTTTCTCCCTCAAATACAGATAGCTACCTTAGGTGCAGATACCTACATTGCAAATGTACACTACATTTAGTCAGTTCAGTTCCACTGTAGACAAAAATATGAGAAAGGGAAATTCTCCATGGGCTTTTGTGTCCACAAAAACCCATGAATACCTACACCTCCTTGTGGTTTCTTTTTTTTCAACTCAGCAGCATTCCTCTGCCTTGTGATAAGTATAGATTTGCTGAACACGAAAGAAAGGGATGACTGTTCATAGCCCCCGCTTGTGGTATTCCCTTCCTATGAAGAGCCCGGACACTTACTATTGGACAACAGTGAAGATGCAGAGCCACTGGAAGTGTCACTAGGGACATACCTTAGGGATTGCTTAGGTAAAAGCCTGGACCAGGAAGATGTCGACATTTATTCTTAGTGACAGCAATGAGAATTGAGGTGAGACATGAAGATGAACAAAATGATTCATCTTTAACATCGTATTATAATAAATATTCTTCTTAGATGGAATAGTATTGACAGAAATCAGAATGAATTGTTTATTGGTACTCCTGTTCTAGTAATGTAACTGTGCTAACCATCAGGGAACAGAATCGATATAATAACACATAGGTTTCTCTCATGTTTATGCAGCATTTCAAGCCAGCTCACTGTTGATATAGACAAACAAAATTCCACTGAAGTCCTTCTATGAAAGAGAAGGGTTTGTCCCTTTCTTTTTTTCACACTCAGATCAAATTTATATGGATTGAATGTCTATTCTTCCACTCTAATAAAAGCAAGTTTCTTTTCTGTCTTAGTGTGGTAGAAAAGGCTAAGTAAATGGCAGCATGTTAATTTATTTCTTTCACTGATATCATACTCATCATGCAAACAGAGGTGTCTTAATCAGTGTTGTTAAACTCATTCCACTGAATCTAATCCTTAGATGCCATTAATCAATCTATTAATCTATTATTAGTCACAGCTAACATGCCTTTCAGCAAGTAATGTAATCATTTAGAAGAAATAGAAAAGCATCAACTTTCTGTATACAATAAGGAGAAATCAGTCAAAATAAAATTTATGCAAAACAGGGTATAACCTACATTCTCTATTGGTTACTAGGATAATTGTGGTACTTATGAAGGACCAGCATTAGCAAGAATTATAAAATGTACTAATCATGAATAGGTGGCCTTTCCCTGTGAGTGGTGCAAGGGATGAAATAGGGGATGACTGTCCTTCAGGCACTTACACAAACGCCAAAACTTTAAAACTATTTTTGATATCATAAGCCTGGAACAGAACAAGGTAATCCATTCTAGAAATCAAATTGCTTTTAGTAAATTTAATAATTTAATTTTTAAAGAAAAAAAGTTGTTTGATCAATTAAAAAATAATGTAGATAAGATGTTTTTTTCAAAAAATAAGTAGAACATATTATTCTTATATTCATCTGATCTATAGGATCTACATGTTCCTAAGGAAGATTTACATGTTTCCAAAGAAGAAATATCTTCCCAAACTTGCCTTTTGAAAATGAAGTACAAAAAATTATCAGGCAAAACTGGTATAAATAGGCCAGTGTTACAAGAAATCATTCTTTGCTGCATTTGTGCAATTGAAAAATATCTGAGTAAACTGTTACAGATAACCTGATAGCCCACACAGCACAAAAGACAAGCTGCATCATTTATGGGAAATGAATGAAATATGGATCTGATGTTACCATTCTAGGAAAAGAGCTCAAGAGGAATTGCCATGGGCTTGGTCATGAAATAAGAATAAGAACATAAATATTTCAGAAAATAATACTGTTTCCTATGAGTTTCTTGATTAATAAGCACATTGCACAGTGAAAACAAGATGTGACAGATGGACAGGCATCTCCCTCCTGCAGATGTCTAAAAAATTAGAAGTACACTGTAGTCTGCCATCAAGTCTTCAAGCCAAATCAAGATCCACATCACTTTATGTATCATTAGTAATTAGTATAACTCTAATGCTGTCCAAAAGAAGGAACAGGAACCTGGCACATTTGTGTTTACTTTTAAGGAAGTTATTTTATGGAGGCATCATAGACATTAAATATAGCACTCATTCAAAACTCTAATATAATTGATAGAGCAGCTTCTTTTTACATCTAAGATAATGCCACTAGTTGGTAGGTAAAATGTCATTTTCAATCAGATTTTGTTGGGGTTTTTAGGTTAAGGGTTGTGTAAAGGAATTTTTAGTAGATTTGTTTTATAGTCATAAGTGGTTACTGAATAAAGAACAGTGTAATAAACTGATCCTGTATCTGAGGCTTTAAGTCTCTTTCTTCCTTGTGTTCTCTGCAGATATCACCCAATATTCACTTACCTCCTCACTCTGGTTCTCACAAAGCTCATCTCAAATCCAATTCATGTTTGTCATGAAGCGAGCTCTTCCAGATAAGAATAAATACACCCAGACTTTGACTGTGCTGTTTACCCTTGCACTGATAAAGGCAATCTCTTGTGGCACCTCTGAACACCATTAAGTGATGTCCTGAGTGCAGGATAGTTGGTTTAAATAAACAATACACAAAAGCCAAGAAAAATACCATTTATTACAAAAGCTATTGTCTTAGAACATAGCAGCATTATTTTATTACATTTTTACCTTTTAAGTCTGAGGAAAATGCTTCCCTAGGGGTTTTTGTTCATGCCTGTTGAGCAGAACACACATGTGCAGCCCCAGCAGGAATAAAAATAGCTACTTTGAACTAAGAGTGTGAGAAGTCTTAAATACCAGTGTTATTCAATTTGCCTATGGTAGTGTGCAATTTTAAAACAATACCATCCAAACAGTTCAATGCATTTTCAAAATAGTTCCACTTTTTGTTAAGTGTGTAGAAGATTCAATTCAAAATGCACTGTTTTCCTGTTTCTTCCAGCCTCTATACTGTTCAACATGGGTTTTACTGTTTAGGTTGGACACTTCTCTGGTGGCCCAAAGATAGAAGGAATTATCAGCTTTTAAAGTCAAGGGAGCTTCAGTCAAAGTTCCAATGAATGCAGGCTCTTCCTAAGAGTTAAGAGTAAATATTGACAAAAGATTGGCATGCAGAGTGACAGGAGAGATATTGCATGCCTTAGTTTTCTATTTGCTTATCGTTAACCTTGCAGGATTTCCTCTCCATTGAATTTTATTTAGTTGCCAATGGTTTCCTCTCTTTAATCACATTACATACTCCTAACTTGAGGAATCCTGTGTCTCTGTAGTATGCTGTGAGCTGATTTGGACTGATTTTTGTAAAGTAGGATACATGTCAAATAATGCTCTTCATTACTTTCTCAATAAAGTTTGTGTCAGAAATCTAGCTATAACATATATCACTACACATTAGATATAGCACAATTAAAAAGTGATTGGTTGATTGATTGATTGATTGATTGATTGATTTACTAATTTATGTAGTATACTTGTATTCGGGATGTGAGGTTTGATGGCCAAGAAGTCAATCATAATGTCCTGAATGTCATGGATTGCATACTTGTGATACAGGTCACAGCATAGGTGATCTAGAGGTCCAGAGCTCAATGTTAAGAGGAGTAAAGAAATTCCCAGCCGAGCCAGATGGATTTGCATAGATTTCAATGAGAAATGGGCTAAATTGAAGCTTTAGTTTGATATGTTAATTCTTCCCTTCTTTTTCCCCCTCCTGTTCTTTCTTTTTCCTGTATTTTTAGTCTGCAATTATTTACATGTATGTTTGAACTTGGGTGTTGAGAGCAATTAATGTCAAGGGAACGTTTAGCAAATTGAAAAATGAGGTACAAGTTTGACTACTTTTTATTCAGTTGTCTTTTGCATGTTTGCACCCAGTTATCAGTGGACAGAAGGGTTGCATGACACAAGAAGTTTACACTTGCATACTTTGTGGGTTTCTTCCCTTCCTTCCTTATATTGTGATCCAAAGTCCTTTGGAGGCTTGAAATTTACCTCAGCTGTCATCACAGTGCTCTGCCATTGGAGCTCAAAGGCAATATGATCTGGCCACAGCTGAGAAGTGAAACCTGGTGGGATGGCTCCTGTGCCTGGAGTGCCCTGTTGGATGGTTACAGGCTCTTCAGGAGGGACAGGCAGGGCAGCAGAGGTGCAGGGGTGGCACTCTATGGAATAGAAGGTGTAGAATGAATGGAGCTCACAGCTGCCAATGGCACAGTTGAGAGCCTGGATAAGAATCAAGGGACAAACAAATAATGCAGATGCCATCGTGGGAGTCCACTACAGACCTCCTGGACAGGACAATGATGAATTATTCTTTGAGGAACTAAGGGACTCTTCCGAGTCAACTGCCCTTGTCCCTATGGGTCCTTCAACTTGCCAGAAATTAACTGGGAACATGACAGAG